TATGATGGCAAGTTATGCTGCTGAGTGAACAACACGAACGACCGCAACTTAATGCAAATGTACAAGCGATGCACCTCACTAAAACCGCAACTACCGTTTTACACTACACGTGTTTCGCTCCTCTACGGAGCATCTGCAGGAGATCTTCGACAGTCGAGTTCCGAGTGAGACCATATTTCTGTCTTTTTTATCAAGATGGACTTCCATAAAGTAACGCCTGATACCTGATACTATTATAGTCCGTCCAGTTCGTGCGCGACCCTCCCTAGGGGTGACAGACGTTGGGGAGGGAGATGTCAGCGGGTAGCGGGAGGTGTAGCGGGGAAGGGTGACGCGCGCATCCGCGCTGCACGTCATATTAAAATGACGTGCTTTTTCGCCCCCCGACCGTCTGTACCCCGCAGGAAGGTCGTGCACGAAGTTGACGGACTATAGTTATAAGATCATTTCCATTCAAAATGCATTTTATTTTCGCAGAACCACGAGTGGATCCGCTTCGCGGAGGCCGACAAGGCGGACATAGCGGGCTGGGTGTGCAAGACCATGGACCTGCTGCCAACCACCCCCAATTCCAACGTGTCTCCTTTTTCTTCATAAGCTGCAAGAAGTGCATACTTTCATCAGCGAAAAAGGGTGAGTCGCGACTTGTTTTCTCCAGTAAGTGACTTGTTCTCATAATCTGCAAGAAGTTCATACTTTCATCAGCGAAAAAGGGCCAGTTGCTTACATTATTTACTTCGCTAGAAACTTGTCCCCTCTAAGGGACTTGTTTTCTCCACTGAATGACTTTATTTGCTCCTGAGTGAGTCTTGTTTTCTCGACTGAGTGACTTATTTTCTCCACTGACTTGTTTCTCCACTAACCCACTTCGTTTCTTCTCTTGAGTTACTTAGTTTTCTCCACTAAGTGACCTGTCTTTATAATGTGGAAGAAAAACATATTTTCCCCAACGAGGACTTGACGAACTTCTATTGATTTGTATTACAGGTCAAAACATTTCCCAAGAGAGATCGGGCGACACGATCAGTGAGGACGCTGCTGGCGCAGAGGAGTAGCCCCGACCACATCCGCCAACATCCGCCGACATCCGCCGACATCCGCCGACAACCGCCGACAACCGCCAACAACCAGATACTGCCAACACGCGGTACGTCAACTCTACGTACTCCATTCAGACAAAGCGATCGCATGGGCTAGATAGAGCTACATGATAGAAAGGGAACGAAATATATACGACTTACTGTTACAACACATAATTGTAAATTCGCATTTATGTGTGGTAATGTTAACCCTTACTGGAAGTAAAATAAGAGGCAGTGCTATGTGAAAGAAAGTGACGAATAGCTTGGATTTTTATCAGCGGTCTTAGTAGCTATTATGGACTGAAGAATGCACACGACGTATTTTATTTCTTGTCTTTATTTGAACTTTTAGTAATGAATAATCGTAACTTTTTTATCGAAATAATAAAAAGAAGAGCTAAAACAAAAAATTGTAACATGGACTATAAGACGAATAGTCTATAAATTCCATAATGATTGCGACTTAAAAAAGACAAGCTTTCACTTTTTTTTCACCTCGCCAACTGTAGGATGTTTTAAACCAAGTTTAGTAAAAAGAAATCGTCGTTCCGAGTCTAATGTGACAACCGTGCGATCGCTACGCGTATACTATACTTAGATATCTTTATTCCGTTGATTCCCTCGTTGGAAATCCCAAAATTAGGTAATTCTCTGATCTAAAGCGACTGAAACGCAATGGAAATAATTTTACGAAAAAAGAAACGAATTTTGTAACAAACGGGAGGGATGATCGAACTTTAGTGTCCGATATCGATTGATCGATATATTTGTAGTGAGGGAATCGTTAAACTATCTACATTTCGATACATTATCACACGAAACCCATCATCGAAACTCAAAATTGATAAATTAATTTATAGAATTGGCTAAAATTAAAGGTAAAAAATTTGTAGAATTACAAAAATGTACGCTACAGGAAAACTCAAAGGGTCCGGATCGTAAAAGAGTTAGAAGCTTCCTATAATATACTGGATATAATTATAGAGACAGCTTACAGGGTCGAAATACCAAGGTGTCTGCATAGATAGGGGTATAATACTAATAGTTATCGTGGACGAACTATTCGAATCGAAATTTAAAACAACTAATCGATTAAATGGTCAAGTAGAGTTGATTTCACTAGTCGCAAGTCGAATAAAAAATGTTAGTAGTGTTTTGACATATTTTTCTTTGCTGAAAGTGCGTAATTCATGTCAGCTGGTATCGTATAGATAGAAGTTAGCTGAGCGCTGGAGCATTTAAACGGCTTTTTTGGTATAAAAAGGCGTGGGAATGTTGCAGATCTCTATAGGGCCAATTTTATTGCTTGGCGATATTTTGGAATTTCAAATACGTAATTCTACACCTCAAAACTCGCGACAATATTTTGTATAAACTAAGATTATTCTGATGTTTGATTGGTGAGATAGATTAGAAGAACGCTTTAAAAAATAAAAATATACCTTTTGACTTAATTGCTGTAAAATGATCCATGTATTTTTAAAATATAAGCAGTGATCGTCAACCTTTAAAAGGGGCCCTTAAAAATCTGTAAAATAGAACGCATTTTTTTAGAAGTTACATATAAATAAAAATAAAAAAATACACAAAAATAAAGGAACGTTTTTACGTTTTGTATTGGACGTGATGCACTGTAACGTTTGGTTTGTTTGGTTTTCGCTTGTTTTAGTGAGTCCGCATTTTAGTTGACCCTGTTCTGAGCACCTTAGTATAGCTGTAAATAGGGTCTTTATGTTACCCTTTAAGTATTTTAAGTACACCTTTTCTGTTTATCCTAGCCTGGATATTGTAACTCTATATGCCAGACAATATTATTCAAAGATCCATCCTTTTGTAGAAGTACTATTACACGCTTTTTGAGCTTTTAGATTTTATTGGGTTTTGCTATGTGTGAATGAATTTGTTACCAATAAAACTTAGACAAAAACAAATAGAATAAAATAAGTTTGACCTATACCAGTGGGTTATTTTATTTATTGTGAATTTGGAATTTATTATAATTTTTACAATCCGTGGTGAATTTGCTCATACCTTCTGAAAAATCTTCCATTTGATTGATCAATACAAGTTTGATCTATTCGTGATTGAGAACCAGTGGGCTATGTGCGACTTTGAAGTTTATTATAATAGTTTAAATTTTTAGGCGTATTTTGCCCTGCATGTAATGCTATCAATTTTTCGCTTGATGGTCACTATTATTTGCCAACCCATCCCTTTTGTAGCATTTAGAACCTTGCGTTCATATATTTGTGATATAATGTTGATGTGATGTGTGTATTTAACCTAAATGTTTCGCTTATTTGACGTTTTTAGCATTTAACTAGCGTTTTCGGATATTAAGTTTAAAGATGTCTAGTGCTTTTTAGTTAATGTTAAAATAGTTGAGAAAATAACAAAAATAAGAAAAAAACATGTATAATCGAGATGACTGGATAGGATTTGTAAGACTATGTTTAATTAATTGACTTGTTAAGATATTGCTTTCCATACAGCAAGTAGATCGATTAAATAATTGTATTATATTAAGTAAGGAATATTTCTTAAATGTTAGACATTTTTTAAATATACTGTTTATTTTATTATATTATTTTTACTGTATAAGCTTTGAGTCAATATATTTTAAGCGAACAGAAGTAATTATGATCCATATTAGGCGGCGTATTTTTGAAAAATCAAACCCTATTAAGCATGCGCCATTCTGTGACGTGTACCTACAACCACATTTGTACGATACTTAAACAACATTTTAAACTTACTGTTATTTACTATCGAAACTATTCATCTCAAGTATATTTCAGAATTTCTTCGAGTAGAATGTGCGACATAAGTGGTAAGACCACGTATCGTAGACTGACTCTTGCGATATCAGAGTTACACTGATTCTAAAATACGCCTTCTGGTATCGACTGAAAAGGTATTGGTTGTCCTAATAAATATAGATAAAAATCTACGTAAGAAATATTTATCAGTGCAATAAATAACACCATTAGCAAATTAAATAAAACCATGTAACTATGTAATACCAGCAGCATCTACTAGAGTGATCTAATTTAAAATATCAACTTGTTCTTATACAAATTATTAAGAATATCTAGTAGCCACGTCTCATAATGACTGATGTGTCTGTAGAAAATCATCTTTTTCTAAAAGTTTAATATACATATGTGCAGTAAATATTCTGCGTATTATCTATCAACAGCACATCAACTTAGGACAAATAAACCACAACCTATTCCAAGGGATCAACTTACAATGGTTGTTAAAACAATTTTGAATGTTCTTCATACAGTTTATAAGAGACACCAGTGGAAGTTGGCCCCTTGAAAGAGTAGGTTGATATGCTGCCAATACCAAACTATTTATGATTGTTAGATTTACAGGTGATCTGTGATTCGAATAATTTGCATTGAGTTTCTGCCCTTAGTATTTTTTCATGTAAGTAAATTATATTTTTTATTACTCTCATAATCAAAAAGACATAAGTATTGATTTTATAGGTGCAAATTGTTAAATTTATTAAACTTGTTTATTTGTAGTTTCCATAAAATCAAAAGGTTAAAATACCATATTATGTACTGTTAAATTGAATTATTGTCTATAGATAGGTAGGTAGCTGTACCAATAAATGTAATTGTAAAGTATATACTGTTTCATTATATTGCATCTACTTACTATTATACCTTAATACGGTCATTCGAATAGCCCATATTTGACCGCTGTGAAACCCATACTAGGAAACATGTCAATAAAGTAAAATAGACTTTATTTCATAGCATTAACATAATTTTGACAGCTGTCAAAGATTCGAGCACCTATTCGAGTGGCGGTACCGATTAGCAAATTTTGCAATCCCTAGTATTTATTTACTAGAACCTATTAGGTAAGAGAAGAGCATCACGAGGTTGAAAAATTCGTTAGTCGCCGGTGGCTCAGTTGGCAGAGCAGTGGGCCTGTACCCCACGGTCCCGTGTTCAAGTCCCGGCTGACGCTAACGAATTTTTCACTTTTCTCATTTTCACCTATTAGGTTCCTTTAAAAATATGTACAGGTTTTTTTTTTATTCATATTCCTATATTACACACATACATCACACCTCTTTCTCGGAGGGGTAGGCAGAGAGATTCCTACTTGATTCTTGATCCTGATTCTATTCTACATCTTTCCACTTGCTACGATCTTGACTCACCTGTTTCCAACATTCATCAATCTTTTCATGTACGGCACTTTTGACCTGACCTTTATTATTTAAAACGTCCTTGATTTGATCCAAGTACGTTCGTCTAGGTCTTTCCCATCCAACGTTCCCATCCACACGTTCATATATTTTCTTCCTAAGTTTATTGGACAAAGTCGTTTCGGTTCTTTGTCTGGTTCACCTCCTTTTACACCACTACTTTTACAGTTTTTTAAATTTTTAATGACTAAATTTGTTAACGCATTGTTTACTCCGCAAGGAATATAGGCATAATTTTATACATGGCGTGATGGCATGTATGTAGTTTTGTATTACGCCTTCATTAATTACACGGTTCGCAGTGGCAATCAGTTTTTAACTCGCGAAAAAGCACAGCGTTATTAATTTAAGCTTTAAACTTTTAATTTATTTCTTAATTGGCGCCTGCCATATTTCCCATAATGAAGTCAATGAAAAACTGTAATAACAGGCGAGATTGTAATTACAGCAGATGGAAGGCACGGGGCGTACGCATACAGACAGGGCTGGAGTAAGGACTGACACACACCAACGATATTTTACCTGCGACACTTGTTGGCGACGGTCGAATTGGAAATTTTGGACCTCCCATAGTAGCTCAAATCAGCTGATCGGCAACTTTGTATGGGAGGTCATAAGTACCTAGATATGTTCCTTGAAGAAAGTTGTTTCTTATCACCAGCCTGTCATGCATTTTAGCTATCAGTCACTAGTAAAATTTTACTTTATATACCCTACAGATCAAAGATCAAGCTACAAAACGGAATGTGCACGAGCCAGCTCGCACATTTTAGTCAGCTTATCTAGCAGGTCACATTCGGTTAATGACTTTGCTTACTTTTCATTATTGCCAAAACTGCTAGATATGCTGACCATTCATATTACACGCATATAATACCTACATTGATTTAAGTAACGATGTGAGCATTAGCTAACTTAATATAAAACACCTTTGAATAATAAATCAGACACAAATAACACACGTCTCACTAGCTTCCCTAGGGTCGAGCTCACCAGCCCCACTGCACAAGGTTCCTGAGTGTGCAGGCTCTGCCGCCATGGCTTTGCCTGTGCAGAATGATTAGTAGTAGGTAGTAGGTAAGTAGTTTACTGATTACGGAAGCTATTAAACCCTGGATGCGGTCCTGTACTGGGCAGCCCTTGAACGACGGCGTTAAAATGAAATAATGCAGAGGTGGAGGGAAGTTCATTATAAATGTACGCAAATATTGTTCCAGTCGGGGCTCTTCCAGAGTCATTAAAAAGCCATTACTTTTCCCCCAGGGAAAAGATAGTTCGTACGAGTTCTACAGGATGTAAAAAAACTGTATATTTATATTGTAAGGGGTTAACCAGCCCATGAAACTCGCATCTTGTATGCAATTTTTTTTTAATATTTTGACCTGTGTTTCTCAAGGAAAGTTGTCCAGTGTCATGGACTGATTCACCCCTTAAAAATATATGCATTTAATTTATTTACACCTATATAGCTTTGCTTCAATGACTTCCGTTGAAACCTCGGCATTTTTTGAAGTTTCGCAAACACACAAAAGAAAAAGTTAAAATTGGTCCGCTTTCTCTGCCTCTTAGATCAAAGGGACAAAATAAGAATTCATTTCGATTATTACATTTAAATTGGTAAATACTGCCAAATAACAGAAATCAACTTTCAATCTCCTTTCGCTTTCCATTTTCGTCACAAAATATTTCCCCATCCCACAGTGCTCCCGCTTTCATACAACTGCCGTCGTAAAAAGAAAAGTTCTGTTGTAGTGTTGTAGGTATCCAATGAAAAAATACCTATTGATATACCTAAATAAATTTTAATATACGTACAATTTAAGACGACACACATCCCTCCTTTGTCCCTTGCGGGGTAGGCAGAGCTGAAACGTCCGTAAAAACGTCGTCATATCCTATGTAGGTAGGCTACAATTTTTTTTTGAGAGACTCATCCTCTCGCTTCCCTTTGTGCAATTTCCTTACTGAGATTTACGTGCCTAGTTAGTAACAGACACCTTCAGTTAGGAGGACGTCAAGCAGGCGGCCGGTCAGTCTACATATTTAAGTTCATCTGTGGGCCGGTCATCTTTCACATCTTCAATCTTTCGTTCGTTCAACTCAAATTCTTTTGCTAGGTAGGATTGTAATTGCTAGGTACATGATTTTGTGTTCTAACAAACCGAAATTATTTGGGATACGGGCAGTAAGATGTTAATAAGTATTATTTTATCTTTTTCAAACAAATTAGTCACAAAGTAAGTGGAGCACTCACTCATACGCCATATGCAAATCTTGGGTTCACGGGTCGTTAACCGGCTGCTGTAAAATTTTACGAGGTTACGTTACGAGAAGCCTTTACGACGCTGGGGACGTACAACAGATCGCGGTTTTCATTTACGTTAATTACCCTAGTTTATTGCTTAAAATTAATTAAAGGATGTCTAATTTATTAATATTTTTACCTAAAAATTTGCTAATAACATTGCAAGACTTAATGAAGTAAGCTCGATCCCCCGTCTTTGCCAATCAGCCACTACCAGCCGACTTTTTAAGTCATCATCATCAAGGTCATTGGTCCATTTGATAAAAGGGCAGCTTTGGTCGCAGTATGACCACAGCATTTATATGTAGCCATCTCAGTTCACCGCCTTAAGCATACAAATGCGATATTTATGGATCAAAGTCCACAGTATAACAATGTTTATTGTATCAGGTGTGGCCTCCACTCAACCGTGACTCAACAATTTGCTAATCGCACCGTCTTTCCGTTCTACGACAGATGTTGTATCGTCTTATCGACTTATTGCGTCTTCAATTTGCTACACTTCCAGGTCATTTCAGATTTACCGGACCTAATAGCGCGTGTATGCCCTTATTTGAACGTAGCGTGCGACATCGCAACGCTTGAAACCGTTTCCATAAAAAAAAACAATGAAACAGAAGAGACAAGGCGTGAGACGAGCGTCGCATCGATAACGGCTGACGATTGCTTGTCTGGCAAATGTAATTTTAAGCGTCGCACGTCCCCTCTGTGGAGCTTGGACATAGAAAAGGATGAACAAGATTTAGAAATGGAAAATGGTGGTATTTTCGAGGCCTGCCGCGTTAACAGGGCCCTCAAGGGTTCAGTCGGGGACGGTCAGGGGCCAGGGTGTCAGTCGTGTAATGGGCTCGTTATAACCGCCACTTTTGAATGTGAAACGAGAACGTGACTTTTAGGAAATTTACGTCGCTTTTTGCGTCTGTCGTGCAATTTGCTTTCTCCTCCTAAACCACGCAAAGGAATTTAATATTATGATGCGTTTTTTAGGGTTTCGTAGTCTACTAGAAACCCTTATAGTTTCGTCAAGTCTGTCTGTCTGTCTGTCTGTATGCCGCGCCCTCATAACTCCGTCAGTTTTGGAGCTATCGACATGAAATTTGGTGTGAAGATAGATCGTGTTAACCCAAATTTAGAAATGTTGAGAAAAAAATATTTCAAATGTTTTTTGGACCCCCTCCCATACAAGTGAAAGGGGGCAAAAAAAAATTTTTTTTCATCTGTAATATTGAGTAGCGTATCGTTGAATAGGTCTTTTAAAATTAAGGGGAGGTTTTTTTGCCACAAAGTCTGTAAAATGTTTCTGTCTCGAGATATTTGCTTTCAAAAGGGGCGTTTTTGAGCCATAATTTGTTCCAGCTGTAACTTCTAAAGTATGCATGCTAAAAATTTGAAAAAAATATGGAGAATATAGTTCTTAATATGAAGTTACCATGAAAACTATAACGAATACTGCAACGATTAAGGAAATATTAAAGTTTTTCAATTTGCGGTTGGTAACCATACAGCTGCAAACAAACCAGCAACAAAATTAACTTTGTAGCGCTGAAAGACCTGATATTTAAACGTTGACTACGAAACCCTATTTGTGAGCGTGTCTGGTCTGACACGCTCTAGGCCGCTTTTTTTACGTAATTGGTAGATAGTGATTCAAGAGGAAGGTTTATAAGTTGGTATATTGTGTAGCACAGGTCGGGAAAATGCACCTTTCCTATGGGAAAATATGTTGCAGCGAGTTAGACCGCTAATGGGCCGCTAGTCACTTACAATAAAATTGTTTTCCTGTTTTCTGCCAGATTTTTACAAACTTTTCGGCAGCGACTTCAAAGTGGTTGTCAGGATGTCCCTTCTGGGATTTATACCGACTTTTATACTCCCCGGATACTCCCAAAGCACAAAGTTTTTTAGGAGTTTTCACGTGACGGACGGGAGAAAAATGTTTACAAGTATCTCGTATTTCGCTACGTTCAAATGCTTTTTTCAACCTTTAAGTAAAGTTTGAAACTGCGTCCATACGGACTACTGGTGCGAATCTGCGAGGCATCGGTCTCATGAGTGTCTTACGACAACTTTAAGTAAAGTTTGAATTTTTCGCTTGTTACAGGTCGTCGTCTGATAATATTCCCATACATAAACCGGATACTACCTGATTCATAGAAGAAGGGGACCCGAAATGGCTACATTATTGTTGACAAGATGTCATGTAATATGAAAAAGACACTAACAACAATGTTGCCATTCGGGTTCCTTTCTTCTATGAACCAGGTTAAATTACCTACCTACCTACCTTTCACGTTGCCTAATCATAGGGTTACCTACATTTAGTAAAGTAGGTACAAATATTTTGAGTGTGTTCGATTTACCTACTTATTGACCTATAAACGATTATTTTTATCATGAATCAATTTATGAAAAATATTTTCTATTTTATCAATGACTTACTACCCACCTAAC